GATGTGCCGGGTTTCGGCTGGCTTTGCTCGTATTGAGCGGCCAGGAGCGCGTGCGCGGCAATGGAAGGGTCGAGCTGGCTCTCCCCCACTGGAGGCGATTGACGTCGTATTTCTGCGGGTGACGTTGACAGGCTCGGAGACTTCAAGAGTGCGGGCGTGATTGAGTGAGCAATGAGCGGTGCATGATGCTCGTGATCCGAGCGCTCATGCTCCGACGTCGACGCAAAATGCACTCCACCTTTACTTGAATGAAGGGAGTCCATTATTAATTTAGCGTCTTCATCTTCGATAGGTGTGGAATCCCGTTTCGTCGAGTGGACGACGCTTCTCCTCAGTCCTTTGTCTCCTCCCGTCTTGGGCTTGATCAGAGAACGGTGGGAAGTCGTAGCAGTTGCCAGGGGAAGAGATTTCCGCCGCCCTTCAGGCAACATAGAGGTAGAATTCGGCACAACTGACTGCTTGATCGGGGAGTCCTCCGCGGGGGATTGCATAGCGTTGAGAAGACCCTCTCCGGAGTGTCGACTGTCCCAGGAGTAAGGGGAAGGTTCTATTTCCTTGGACACATTCGTATTGATGGGGCCCGGACGCGATACTTTTTCTTCCTTCCGGCAAGCCGCGGATGAAGGATGCGCGGATGGTAACTACCAAAAGTTATTAACAATGGCCTGGTTAGAGAAAGATGAGGAGCTGAGAGCGAACAGAGCGGTTCGTACCATGTCAAAGGGCTTCCCGGGAGATGTGGACTCGGAAATGTGTGCGCTATCCCGCTTCCCGAGGTCATCAAACATACTTTTAAATTCATCCCCAAGCTGACCAACATTCAGATCGTCTAACAGTTTTGGTGGTGTTGCGGTGCTGGCTGTACTGGACGTCATCGCCCTGTTCCTGGACGGGCCGGGGGTGGACTGTCGAGCGGGAGGGATTGAAGGCGACGCCTTTGAGAGTCTTCCCCCAAAAGAGAAGGTTCTTCCCGCTGCGCGTAGTGCACCAGATATAGGGGGAATGGGTATGTCGTGGAGATTTCGAGTGTGCGGCGATTGGGCGTCGGATTGAACCGGTATGTCTGTCAAAGAGCGCGGCGCCGATGACGAGCTGAACCGAATAGACGAAGAACTCTCTGATGATCCTCCGGGATTGCTGCTAGTGTAGTTGAATCCCAAAGTTAGTAACCATGCCAATAATATTTTCAACTAATCCGCCCAAGACTGGGAAGGTGAACTGTACCGATGCTTTGGTGGTAAATTCTCGGATCCAGCGAAAATATTGTCATCCTCTTCCGTGGGAGTGTACAGAACATGGCCTCCAGTTGATCTTTTTGAGAAAATATTCCCTTCACTTAAGGATTTTCGGTCCGCAGACGGGCGTTCAAAGACTCGAAAGGACGGCTGAGGAGGAGGATTCTCCACCTCCTCAAGAGCATTTCCAGACGACTTCCGCCGCGTAAAGCCCTTAGGGAGCTTAATTGGCATCTGTACAGATGGACCGTCGGTCACAGACTTGTGAAGGTCGGCCACTTATTCCCAACGAGGAATCCACAAGTCTAGACGGAAAGTCCCGCAGACAAGGCAGTTCCAACAATTATCCGCTTGGGTTGCTCCTCGCTTTCCGTAAACAAGGCAACGGGTGATTGTGGAGGGGCGATTCTGGGCCTTTCGAAACGACTCAGATTCCGATGCAGGTGGGGCTTATGTCGAGGAAACGCCGAAGAATGAAGACGCAGCTGTTACGAGGGAAAATCTGTTGTGGGCGGGCTCAACACATTAAGGGGTAAGGAGAATGCTGACTGCGAGCGCACGAAATGAGCGAAGGGAAGTTTCTGATAGAAAATCGATAGCGTCTCTGGCTAGGACCCTCAAAATGAATCACCAGCGGGGCTCCTGGAGTGGATAATTGTTTGAAAGTCAGACAATTGTCGCTGCGCGGACTGCAATAAAAAATTGATGACGATGACTATGCTCATTGAGTGACGGATTAGAATTCAGAAGGGTATGGTGTGGTCTGATGACAGAGAGAAATGAGCGGGTGGTCAAAAGCTGGAAAACAAATAAATAGTCAACAGGGGGTGAAAGAAGACAATGAGACTACGGGGAGTAATCAGCCAGAGACGTGGACAATAATAATCGTCGATGGACAAGGAGGAGAGGGAGGCGGAAACCAGAAAAACATGAATAATACCAGGCTTGGACTGACAGATCGATAGATAGATAGGTAGTTAGTTGGTTCTTAACCTCGATTCATCATCCATCAGGATTTAAAGTAAGGTAGGTACGGAGTAAATAATCGTAGAAGAAGGACCTAGTCAACCCTACTCCATATGAACCTTAGGTGTCTAGCCATCCATCTCTATTGTTCCTATTAATATCCAAGGTACCTGGACCTGCTGACTTGTGGTCCCCTACCTATCTATCCGCTACGCCGTACCTTACTTACATTACCTATGTACCTCGCAAAATCTTACCATGGTTTCGGCTCTAGCTTGTATTTCAGAAATATTGATATCAAAAGAGGTAGATAAAGTATGAAACAGAGCTTGAGAGCTTGGAGTGACAGAAGTTCATAATAAAGAGATGCAGCGGTTCGTGCTTTTGCATCGAGAATCATCTACCTCTCAAGATTTTCTGCCTTAGGTACGAATTATGATTACTGTGTACGCAGTACCTAAGGTAATTTTGGCTTTAATTAATAGTATGTTCCTAGCCTTCTATGACCCACCACAGCCTGAAGATACTGTAGTAATAATATTTAGACTCAGATAGCTACCTGAGAAACAGGCAAGAAGGGACCTGGCCTACAAAATAGAGAGGTCAATATCGGTAGGTAGCCTTTTCAGGGTTTCACTCTTACAAGTTAGCATCTGTCGTGGGTTCATCGAATTTTGAGCAATATGCCATTGAGTCCAATGGGGATGCTCTTCAATCAGGTGGTTGAGTACCGTGTACCTGCTTGACTGGGTAGAGTCAGCGTACTCTTTGCTCCCAACTCCAGCCTGCTTTTCCAGGTAGCCGAGGTGTTTTACCATACGAGTTCTGGTACTATGGCCATCAACAGGGCTTGGTTAGGATCATCGGCCTTGGAGAACTGCGTATTCCGAAATCCTTGAATATGATTTCACCCTCACTCATCAACCATTGAACCTTTATCTACAGACTTGAGACGAAACCATATATTAAGAGCAGATTCTTGCAAGGTAGAAGATGAGCTACTGGAATCATTCTGAGAACATGTCTCGAGTACACACTGAGATTTCCTGCTTATGATTCGATCATTCAAAGAACTCCCTGAACAAAACTGTGGTAAAAATATCACACCCGGGAATTTCGCCCCCGAGTGAGGTGGCTGTTGACATTAGGATTTCTAGCACTATCATGTCCCATCGGCATAAAAAAAGGCGGCGGAAAAAGATAGCCCAGCAAAGGGGCTAAGGGTCAATTGAATTCAGCTCTCACTTGTAAGAGAGGTTGCCCGTCTTGTAATGTTGTATGACCTCATTCAACAGCTAGCGGCTTAGAGAAGTACATTATTTCTGATTCAGAATGTCAAGGGTTGAATCCTGATAATAAACTGATCAACTCCATCAGCCGAAGGTTGGCGCTGAGTGAGAAGCCTAAGCAGTAAGGTTACTATTGCGGAAGGCAATACAAACAATGCAAACACTCTCACCTCATCGCGACTGCGTCCATGCTGCATTTTATGAATTATGAATCTCTCTCTCTCTCTTCTGGTTTCCTTCTCATCTGTATCTAACAACCACCCATAATCGAATCATCAAGATACCGTCAAATTCATCAAATCCATCATTCAAATCATCAGTACCAAACCGCGGTATTATTATTTAGTCTAGATTTATGGTAACCCGCGGTGGCGTCTTGGGAGTCTGGAGCTTAGGTAAATTCTGATCATTTATTGAGACAGCATATTGAGGAAAATTAAATAATGAATGTAGGTAAGCCACTAAGGTTTCTACGCTCCAAGCACTGTACCTTACCTTACTTAAGCTAGGTAGGCACCCCAAGCTAGTCGGGGGAATCTCTCAAATCAGATGCAACTATCATGCACATGCGCTTTCTTCAAAGTAGCATACATCGATAGCTGTTATCACTAGATCATGGGTACTTCACTAGATTGCTAGCATGAACATAGATTAGTCTGATTGTGCAAGCAGACTGATCTAATGCAATTATGCAGATCACCTTGTCACTCTGTGATTATGAGAATTCTTTCCTTAAGAGATCCTAATCTTCTCCGGATTTCAGCGAAATACTTTTCTGACACCTTTATGGTGCCTGGTCTGACCAAAGCTTGTGATCTGCGGAGCCAATTGCCAGCTTTCGCCTCATTATTAGCTTTTCTAATGTAATGACAATCGTTAAATATCCAGAATGACTATATCCTGCTTCCACAAAGTCATTGATCGGTTGGACACGAAAGTGGGCGAGTTTCATGCTTGAAAGCAGCCTCTTCGGCACGAATATTGGCGACGCGAGGGCGAGATATCTCGGTAGGTAGGTTAGATAGAAGTAGACGAAGTCCCCCCTCAAATATAGCCTGCATCAACTGTTATGGTCAAGAGCCACTCGACCATCCAACGACACCAGTCTTCAGCTCTGGGATGGACACGTTACTCGACTTTCAGACTGAGGTCTAACCGGATTCCAAAAGGCACCTCCATGATTTAAGTTTTGATGCTATGTTATTTCACCGTTCGCTTCATCCAAAATAGGTACTTGATCAATCATGTCATTGAGAAAAACGGAGCGCATCCTCCTATGATATCGCTGGCTTGTATTGCATTGACAATATGGGCTAAGTAGAGTTTTCTTGCAAGGTTGTTAAGCATTTCAAGCAGCGAGCTATAAGATAATGTAAAACTGTAGCGCTTGAAGAAAGGACCAGAGGCGAAAATCGGGTTAAGCACACTCATTAGTCACAAGGGAAGCAGATATCTCATCGCCTTGGCTTCATGCCTTGTCTAGGTTATCGGATTAACCAGTCGCTGGGCCCTAAACGACAATGGAATGCTGGGCCTTTAAGCCTCCAACCAATGCCACGCCAACTGGAACCCGGACATCTCGCACATTGAAGCATGCAAAGGCCACAACTTTCTTGATCGCTGGACAAGATTGGAATATTTTACCGATGAGGAAATCATCCATAACCGTATGAAAAGATACGTCCAGCTCCTGCAGGAACGGGTATGTCTTTCCTTCTGAAAACACATCCTCGAAAGCAGCACGCGATATGTGACGGCACGATGAGATGTTCAGTTTCTGAAGGGCCGAGCCTGAGTGGTTCATGAGCGCAGTGAACCCTTGAGATGCGAGTCCAATTGCCTCGGCAGGACCATCAGGGTTAGCATTATCCACGTCTCGCGTGGAAGACAAATCCACGAATCTTAAGGGAGGATTGGCCCAATTTGTGAACAGGTTGACAAAGCCTCTGTTGCTACAGAGAGCATTGTCTGAAAACCGAAGTTTTGAGAGCAGCCGACATTTGTCATGAATAAGATCCAAAAGCCGATCATCAGCGTTGCGGAAGCCCTCCAGGGATAGTGTGCGCAGATTCGGGCCAAGCGTACCCATCATCTGTAAAATGGGTTCAATCTCCAACTCTTGGACAGTATCAAGAGACAAGTGCTCAAGGGTCGGTAAAGTTGAAATTGCCCGTACAGAATTGCTACCAATTTTCCAGCACTGCTTGAGCTTCAGTCTTTTGAGGGCTGTGCAGTTTTTACACAGTGTCTCCACAGTTTCGTCATCAAAGGAAAAGTCGAGATTCGACAGTTTCAAACTTTCGAGCTGTGATCCTAATTTCTGGAAGAGCCGCCGCCAATAAGCATCAGAGACAAGGTTAGCGGCATCTAAGTGCAGTTGCCTGACTTGAAGATCTCGGTCAATCATGTATTCAACAACTCTGTCTTTGATTTGGCCCGCAAATCGGAGATTGACACGACTCAGGGCCGGCATAAAGGCGAATATTTTGTGAAAGTCGTCCGTTTCGAGTTCTATGACAAGTGAGTACGTTGAGAGCCTGAAAATAGCAAGTAGAGACATACTAGCCGCATCGTAAATGTCAATGAAATTCAATTCAGGCCGTAGGAACAAGTTCAAAGTCCTTGATGTAAGAATCCGCCTTTTGGAAAATATCTGGCTAAGGCGCTGAAGCAACCGTGACGGTAAGTCCCCAAATTCTTCGATGTCGTTGTGGTTATCAGCAACTTTCTGAATGCAGTCAGCCTCGAACAAGATGGATCGAATGATTGCTCAAGAATGTTCACCTTTGCACACATCTCGACCAAACTGAGAGCACCTTGCTGCACGATTCCGTCGAGCAAGTTGCTTTGATTCTGCCGCCGACCGCTTCTCGACCCTCGCTTCTTAGCTTTTGACTTTCTTTCATCATCCGCTACTTCTTTGGAACATTTGGCGCAGAGGAGACCACCATTGGGGCCGGTTTTGCTGTATGAAGTGACCGTGAAACGCTTACTGCACAGCTCGCAATTCTCAAGTTGGCCTGGCATCGGTCGGGATTTTTCGTACATCATCTCTCTAGCAATGACATCGTCGTCATCATCGGGTTCCCCAGTGCGGCGGGCTTTGCGGCGAGCGAACTCCTTGCTCTGCTTGATCTTTGCGAGTGTCGCTGCCTCCTTTCGCTTGCGTTTCTTTCTCTGCTCGGCCGTTTCGCCGTCATTGTCTTCATATTCATCTTCCTCCTCAATTTCATCTGCCGGTTCATTCGCAGCCGCCCCTCGCTCGGCTTGTCTCACCCGTCTTTGGTAGTCTTGATGAATCTGAGCGGCGGAAATGTTGTTGGACTAGACAATCAAGTGTCAGCACGGATCTGGTCATTTATTGATGCTAGAAGAATGAGGCACTTACAGCTAAGAAATCAGTGAGCGCAGAATGGCTGCGAAATCATGAATCAGCGAGATCGACCAAGCGGATGGAAAAAGGGTTGAGGACGTACGGGCCCCTTATCTGATTCCTTGTTGACCTTCTATGCGCCCTGCAAACAATTAAAATGAAAGCCTCGAAAACCTCAGAATGATCGAAACGTACATATTGCATGCAACCACTTATTGATAACCTGATTTGAGGTGGTGTTAAGATGATTGATGCAGGTCTGATAAGCTTCAGGTCACAGGACTCGTGGTGATTTCGTGTTCCACTTTACGCGAACTTCGGTGTTGTCCTTATCAGCGCGTTTCCTGGATAAAGACTGGATTATCTGGGCCTGGTGAGAAGAGGAAAGACAGAAGAAGTTTGATGAAAGGAGTTTACTTGCACTCGCCAAGAGTCGTATACGAGGGGTAGTGACAGATCTGTGAATCACAGGCCGTGTTCCTGTCGAGCTGTGAAAGAATTTTCCAAATCTTCCCAAAGTTCCAACACTGCTGCCTCCCTTTTCCGACCGAACCTCCATAACAGCAGTGCCGATATTTGCCACCTACATTCTATTAATTTTCGATCAGGTACCAGGGGCACACTTCGGTTTGTCACTCATCCAGGATCCTACTTTTGACAGGGAAATCAGGAGCCTCATTTTGGTACATCGTCGAAATCCTGTCATCATGGGGAGAAGGACTTCCACAGCAAAAGAGACAATGCCATCTGGTAGTAAGTGCTCTCGCTTCCGTGCTAAATGTCCTCCCAAAACATGCTACCCATCTTTCAATCCGAAGATGGAAAGCTTTCTACTACAATTGCGTCCGACACAGTCATTGTAAGGCTAATGATCGATTTCAGTGCCTCAAGATAAACGATCGTCGTTGCCGAGACGCACCTCCCTGCGATTAGCACAGTCAAACCCCAGATCCATCACCGACAGTCCGAGTGACCACAGGGCTAATCAGAAAAATGAAGAGCATCATTTGGAGTCGATGGAGTCAAGCTTTGTCTCTACTTCCGTCGAAGTTGCTATACCCTTGAAGAAGCAGTCACCCTCGTGTGCTTCTTCTTCCTCTTCCTCGGAAGACACGTTTGGCGAAGGAAGAAACGACTATGATACTCCTGCAACTAGCGTTGTTATGACTCCTGCCGAGTCAGATGTGAATAAGCCTAGGAGGAGAGTTAATGCTTCTGCACGAGCTCGGGAACTACGCTCAAGGACAATGCCCCTCAGTAGCATGCAAAGAGGACTTAAGAGGAACACCGCAGCACTCTTCCCGGATGCCCCGACTTTGGGAACTTCAGACGAGGCTTTGGCTCAGGCTCTGCAAATGCAAGAATATCAGGAATCCTTTTCCAAGCGTCGGAAGATTGCCGCGGGCGCGAGTCGTGACGCCCCGGAGATCGAAGATTCTACTGAGGATGATGACCGCCTGGAGGACCTCGAGTCTGACGGCTTCAAGGATGCAGAGGACGAAGATGACTTTGAGCCTTGGCAGCCAAAGCGCAGTATTAGGACTTCTCGACGGTCGACGACGCACCAAACCATTCCGGACAGCGAAGTCTCTGACTTAAGTGATGATGAAGCAGGGGATGGCAACTATCAAACTAATTCAGAAGCAGACGGTCCTCCGTCGTCTAGTAGCGAGGAGGAGCCGTTAATTGCCGAAAGGGCAAGAAACGCCGGCACAGCAAATGCCAGCACAAGCTCGCGAGCGCGGAGGCAAGCATTAAGGGCCTCTGCAAACCAGCGACGCACTAATATTCCACCTTGGATGAGTAATCGAGTAAGTATGCTTGCTTCGTCCAACATCAGGGTGCTCTAACACAGTATCTAGGCTTATAGAGAGCGACGCAAACTTGAAAGGCAACATCCTCTCATCACAAAAATGTGGCACGACTTGGAGAACACGCCCCCTATTACACCGGTACCAGCAGAACAGCCTCCGGGCATTTCGAGAACGCTGAAGTCGTACCAGCTCGAGGGCTTGAACTGGATGTTGCAGCAAGAGAAAAGTCAATATAAAGGTGGTTTGCTGGGTGACGAGATGGGCATGGGAAAGACTATCCAGGCGGTCTCCCTTCTCATGTCTGATTATCCCGTCGGCAAACCATCTCTTGTTGTGGTGCCACCGGTTGCTCTGATGCAATGGCAGTCTGAAATAAAAGTACGTCTGTTCTGCATGTTTAAAATTACAGTTACGACCCTAATTTTTATGACCTCAGGAATACACGAATGGCCAGTTCAAGGTTCTTGTGTACCACAATTCCAATGCCAAGGTCAAACACCTAACAAAGAAAGACCTTGAGTCTTATGATGTGATCATGATCTCTTGTGAGTTATAAAATTTGCAAGCCTGAAAATTCGGTCTAATGTCGGATGTAGACTCCGGCCTCGAGTCCATTCATCGGAAGGAATGGAAAGGATGGAACCGCAACGACGGGATCGTGAAAGAAGATAGTGAGTCTATCGACAAAATAGTACAGCAAAGAAAGGCCCACTGACAATGAGAAGGCGTCATTCATGCCATTGACTACCACCGCCTTATCCTCGATGAAGCGCATAGCATCAAGGTATATTAACGAGACCTTTGGACTGTACAATTTGATTATTTTGCTAATGCTTCTCAGCAACGGACTACCAGTGTTGCACGTGCATGTTTTGCCCTTAAAGCCTCTTATAAATGGTGTCTTTCCGGCACTCCTGTTCAGAACCGAATCGGCGAGTTCTTCTCTCTTCTTCGCTTCCTCGAAGTTCGCCCATTTGCGTGCTACTTCTGCAAGCAGTGCAAATGTCAGCAACTTCATTGGTCTCAGGACGCGGATAAACGTTGTAGCCATTGCAAGCACAGTGGGTTCAGCCATGTATCAGTCTTCAATCAGGAGATCCTTAATCCCATTACCGAACGAGACAATCCAGAAGCCTGCAAGGAGGCCTTGTCCAAACTTCGCCTGATCACTGACAGGATCATGTTGAGAAGAGTCAAGCGCGATCACACAGCTTCAATGGAGCTCCCTCCGAAACGCGTCGTTCTGCATAACGAGTTTTTCGGAGAAATTGAACGTGACTTTTCCAGGAGTATTATGACGAATTCTACAAGGCAGTTCGATACATACGTTAGCCGAGGTGTGATGTTGAACAACTACGCCAACATCTTCGGTCTGATCATGCAGATGCGGCAGGTTGCGAATCATCCCGACCTGATCCTGAAGAAGCATGCTGCCGGTGGACAGAACGTCCTTGTATGCAGTATTTGTGATGAGCCTGCGGAAGAGGCCATTCGGTCTCGTTGTCACCATGAGTTTTGTCGTCGTTGTGCCAAAGATTACATCCAGTCTTTCGAAGCAGACAGCGTCGTTGATTGTCCTCGTTGTCACATCCCCCTCTCCATTGATTTCGAGCAGCCAGATATTGAGCAGGAGGCGGAGCACATCAAGAAGAACTCCATCATTAATCGCATCCGAATGGAGGACTGGACGTCGTCGACGAAGATTGAGATGCTTGTTTACGAGCTCTACAAATTGAGGAGCCAGAAGCAGACTCACAAGTCCATCGTTTTCTCGCAATTTACCTCGATGCTTCAGCTTGTTGAATGGCGTCTTCGTCGGGCTGGTTTCAACACCGTCATGCTGGATGGGACGATGACGCCTGCACAGCGTCAGAAATCAATTGATTATTTCATGAATAATGTGGATGTAGAGGTTTTCCTTGTGTCATTGAAAGCAGGGGGTGTCGCCTTGAACTTGACCGAAGCCTCCAGAGTTTTCATCGTCGATCCGTAAGTATCACTTGAGCATCTTGCTACATACCTGATCAGGGTCTTGTACTAACGGGAATCCATCAGGTGGTGGAATCCAGCTGCCGAATGGCAAAGCGCTGACCGATGCCATCGTATTGGTCAACGACGGCCGTGTGTCATAACGCGGCTCTGCATTGAGGATTCGGTAGAATCGCGGATTGTCTTGCTGCAAGAGAAGAAGGCAAATCTCATCAACGGCACGCTGAACAAAGATCAGGGGGAGGCGCTGGAAAAGCTCACTCCAGAAGATATGCAGTTCTTGTTCCGCGGATCCTGATTTGTCCTCTTTCTTGAGATTATACATTATGCGATCTAATTTACTGCGCTGCTTGCTGGAAAGAGCTTGGCTCATGGGATTATTGCTATGCCCGACGCATTGCGGTATCTCACTTGAGGAGAGCGAATTTGCGGTTCTGGCTGGCCAGCACTTTTCGCGTCTTCTCCGAATCTCTTCTTATGTTCCTATTGTACTAGGCTGTCCTTGCTATGGTGAACGTCTTCTGAGCTGGTCTCAGTTGATGCTGGAACTCCACTGCCACCCAAATTGAGAAAAATTAAGAAATTTATAATGATGGTATCCTATTATCCAAATACTTACAGATGTTTTTATAAGCGTATGTCGCTCATCGACTGATTTTACTAGCGCACCTAGCCTTTTTCTTCCCCCTTTTTTTTTTTTTTTTTTTTTGGGGGGGGGGGGGTCTGTTGCTGTGTTGACAATAATGGATGGATAGTCAGGCGAAAATCATCATCACGAGTACAGACCACTTGCAAGGAGATAATAGTACTGCTCCGTTTGGAAGTGTATTATTTGTTTGTTTATGACAATTCTCCAAGAATCTCCGAAAATGACAGAAGCTTGGCCTTGCTTAACCCATCCAAGAAGATCCGAGAACCTCTGCTGTTCAGGAGTCAGAAGTAGTCAGAACTACTTACGTAGTAGAAGAGGACAAAGGAGGGGCGCGATGATGCAGCAGGCTTGCAGTGCCCCTGGAACCAACTTCCTGCCGCCGGCTGAGGGGGGAAAGGACAAATACTAAGGGAAGTCATCATCCATCATGAACTGACATTTTCCGTTGAAGGTAGGTTTGGTTGTATGTGAAGTGACATGAGAGCAACTAATAAAAAGCAACTTGTGCTTCCTCTTCCTTTTTCTTTTCTCACTTTTCTCTCCTCATTACTTGCTTCCTGACTTCTCTCTCCACTCAGCCCTACGAACGGACAAGAGCAAGACAAGATCTCGTCCCCACATCGTCCCGCATCTTCAGGCCTGACTCGACCAAGTGCTGCAGGCAGCAACTATAATAAAATAGTGTAAAACAGAACAGAGTACTCTTCATAACTTTTCTAGCTCACCCGGATCATGGAGGATG